TTTTCCTCGACGAAAACAATGGAACCCAAAAGATACTCAGGGGAAATATGGCGGCAACGACGTTGCCAGGTGACAGCGTGAGCAGTGGGAGAAAATTACGATCGACATCAACTCGTTGTTTGGGGTAAACTACACTACCAAAATCTCAAGCAGATGAAGGAGGATATGACACGGGGTAGTCTGGTGTATTCCTCCATCCGCCTTCCCTCGTCCAAGCCTTAGATGGACGAAGACTGCGTGCGAATGTATGGATCTCCTTAGTATGCATTTACAAGGGAATCTTCGTGCCACGAAGTGTGTAGCATTTTGGAGGGATCAGGATCACGGATCACGAGTAATGTAACATAGCAAAAAAGCCCCGTTACAGGATCACGGCATTTCAACACGTAAAGTACCACTGATCCGTAAACTGATCCTTTTCATGGATCAGAATCTTGATCCAATATTTGATCTGGATCAGAGGGTGATCCCTCGGGACCGAATGGATCACGGATCAACGAAATTTCTCAATTCGTCTGAGAATTTCTCAACCCCTTGATCTTTGGATCACGGATCAAGTTTTTTCTCAAGAATCATAGATCAGGATCAAAAATGAGGTTCACGCGAGATCCAGATCACAGATCACGGATCAGTATCAAAGTTCATGGATCGAGATCAACGGTCAAGGATCAGCATCAAAGATCACGGATCGAGATCAAGAATCACAGATCTGACTCACGCATCTCGGATCACGAAAGATTTGGCTCAGACGTCAAGATCAACGAGTGATCTGGATCATGTGCTTGATCCGTGGATCAGGATCCGCATACCGGCCCAGTATAACTTGCACGCCGCTTGATCTACCAATAGAATGAAGACGTGAGATTAGATGCTCGGCTCAGGATTCAGAGCATCACCCATGTCTAGATTCTTGAGCATGGATTTGACGTAAGCATTCGACCATGTAACCTTTTCCCGAGTCTGAACAAGTCTACGCTTGGCAGTCGCAGAAGATGCCCTCGATAACAATATGCATATCTCGGACCCAGACCGCCCTCCCTCTAGTATAACAACATCAACTCGTGAGAACACTGAAAGTTTATTGACTTGCTGACTGATCTTCGGGAGGCGTATCTTCATCATCGTTGCGAAGGATTCCCATCGTCCTACCATCCTTCTTCGTCCAGTCTTCCTCACTAAAAACAAACACCATAAAATGGCCAATAAACACTCTCCAAAACACGTGAAAAACTGATCAAAGATGCATACCTGGAGGACCCTGTTCCATCATCATCGTATTCTTCGGCTTTTCCTTCATGTCTGCTATCAACGACACCAAATCGTTCCTTCCGCCTTGCCCGACGAGCCAGCTCCTCCTCGTCTACCTCCACCCGGCCTCCCAGTGGGGACCGACTTCGGGAGCGCCCCCGCCTTAAACATAGACAGTTTCAATCGTAAAACTGCACATAACGTATTGCTCATTCATCCGCTCACCTCCGGCCTTTCCGAGGTTTTAAATCGATCCCTCGTGGCGCTAGCTTATGACCATCGCAATCGTAGCCTTTCTTGCTCAAATTCTGGCGGTAAAATTGCGACTGAAAAAAGTGACGGACGCTTTCGCTTGTGTTCCGTTGTATTTACATCTCGCCATGTTCGACCGGCCTGTTTAACGTCCTTATCCGTTGCCAATCGGAAAGAGAGCCGGAATGGCTTCTTTCCTTCCAGCTCGATCAGTTCACTCAACACCCACGGATCTCCAACTTTTGTTGTCGTGGGATGCTACAAAGAAGTCACTTTTAATACTACGAGAATCAAACACAGCTCCATTCCACAAAGAGACTGCGATGCCCTATCGCATAGCGGGTAGGGCATGACACACCCTATGAACGCATAGGGTCGCAGATCAAACGCACCGCGAGGAGCACACAATCTGCAGGTGCATATGCACACATGCGTGCAAGATAGGTGTGCGATCCCTCGACTCCCTAGTACCTCCATCGCAGCCTTCGCTCGGTCCTCAGTACCACATCGTACGTTGCAGGAATGATCATCCAACCATTCAACGCCAATTTCTTCCTTCTCCGTAGCACCGCCCGTATCCATCTCGACATCCCCTTCCGTTAACGCGTTACCACTGCAAAGGTCCGAGAAGTACCTGCATTACAAATAGCAAGCACCATTTCGCCACGGGCTATCACATGACTATCTCTGATGTGTTCATCTTCGTCACTCCAAACACGTGTAACTGAATGATGAATACTCCAGGCTTATCACGTGGGAATTATTGTCAAAGCATTCACAGTCGTATACCCCGAACATTTCCAATCAAACAAGTCACAATTTAGATATAACGAAATATCGCCTCTCCTACGACTGAATCTAGTCGCGAATAAATGCAAACTTTTTTTCAAAAAAAAGGAGACCTTCATTTCGAAAAACGACCGAGGGAATTGCAATCTTACTTTATCTAGGATAATGGATGCACCCTCTTGAGGCTCCCACCGTTTATTCCGATTGCCTTTAGCATCGCTGAGCGGCGCCTCTGCGGCAGGGATGGGATCATCGACAACGTCAGAGTACATAGTGAACCCTGTATAACACAGTGCTGGGGGAAAACCACATTCCAAGGAGATTCTGGGAAATTCTGCTTAGCATCCCTCTAATTCGTATATTAGTGGGAAACTCCTGAGCTCAGCTGAGGAGAGCGCACATATATTCCAACACCGTTATAGCATGATTTCCATTGAGCTCACTTAACCCAACTAAGTATCGGAGTGAAACTGCCAAAATCATCTCAGGTAGGCCTTGCCCGGGAAATCCACAGCCTACAATCCTCAGAGGGCCCCGAAATCGTAGGAGGAGAATAGCACACCCGTGTAACACAGGAATGAGCGGAAAACGGAAGTTGGGACAATTCCCTTTCCCAGAAAATCACCTCATCGCTTTCCGCTGATGGGTATGGATAGTAAAAACATAGTAAAAAATATATTTCGCGACTACTGCATATCACCGCGAATGTCGCGTTTTTCACAGAGCATTACGCCACTTCGCGTGAAACGGGTGGAACTCCAACAAGTAGTTGTTGATAATTGAGTTGAATGGCCACAATCAACAACACTCATCCATTCGATCGTCGGAATTGATATCACTACAAGCATGCTGAAAGGAAGAGTAATGAGCACACGTCTCAATTGTGCATTTGTGTTGCAATAAGGCGCTGTGTTTGCGTGCGAGTTCATACCACTCTTCTGGAAAATCATGCTCGCTCAACTCTACCCCACAGTATAGTTCTCCTTTGCTCCTGTGGGGTATCAGTGGTAGGAGTAGAAGACTTGAGGGATGGCGTGTGATTTCACAGGTGTTAACCAAATCGTAGTGGTCCATTAGTGGAAATGGATGCTTTCGAAACAATAGAGCGATAACAGCGGGCCTAAAGTTCAGGGCTTGGAACTTTGGGTGAGGGGAAGGACCCAAAAATGGCTTCACTGGGTATCACGAGGCTAAGGGGCTTCGAATTTTTTAGGTTGTCAGGAGTACTTGAAATGAATGGCAAATATGATACGCCCAGTAATTGAACCCAGTACCTCTCTCGAGCTCATTGAACATGCTAACCTCTAGACTGTTGTCTAATTAGGATATTTGGCTCGTGAGATACGCGATCACACTGAATACCATCCAGTATTACAGGCCGCTGAACACGAGGATTGGACGATCTGCCGTGACGACTAGTTCGTAGAAGTTAGGGGAACTGATCCTTCAATTCTACTCTCATTCGAATAAGAGGGCACCCGTCTAGTTGTGATCATCGCTGTGCTGTATGAATTCCAAATTCGTAGAAAAGCAATATGCAAATACGCAATATGGTTGAGAATACGTGCCGTGGCAGGTGTAATTCATAGCCAGTCTGCTGTGTAGTTCCTTCTAGTTTCTATGCCTCTATTCGAGAAAGGTGATGAGCCTTTCTTCGTAGCGAAGGTCGAGAGCACCTGTTGCTTGTGCAAGGGTATCGTCGGGGAGGGCTCCCCTACCTTCCCCACGCAGTTCTCACCAGAGAAGCCTACAAGGTACTACTGTGTGGGGGAGATCGGTCGATCAGTGATATTAGCAGGTACCTATGGGCGCATCTGGAGTGTGCTAAGCAGGAGGCTGGTGGGGTTCTACCGGTAGTACTCCTGTGGGGTACCACTGAGCGCTTTAGTTTTCTTTTCTTCGTGGGGTAAGAGGAACTGTATATTGACTGGAATAAGATTGGGGTATTGACACTCGTCGTGGAAATGAAATCGACTGCACTCGACCTCGCAGATTGCGAGTCTCAGTGTAAAGGAATATTACTTCATCTATGCATTTAATGATAGCATTTTAACACTCGTATCAGACTACACCTTATATTTTATCATTACGATGGAATTTAATTAAAACTATTTATATACCATATCTTTCTCCAATCAGCGTCCTTCCGCATGGTTACAGTTTGGTTCTTGGCTCAGGACGCGCCCGTTTGCAAGCATTGGAAGTTCCACGGTCGATGCCTTTACAAGGAGAAGTGTTTCTTTTCCCATCCTCAAGAGTAGCCAGTCGGTCCTTGAAGTCGTCAATCTACGATGAGGTCTCTTTAGAGTCTTGGAGGAGTACAATAGAAAGCAGGCCGAGATAGAGGAAAATGGTGGGCGGAAACGGAATAGAGGACCAGGGAAGAGAAATAAAGTACTCGGGTGAAGCCTTTTACCATATGGGATCGTTTGGGATGCGGGTATTCGATTTATGTTTTGGTCAATTTCCCTCTGAGGTGACTACAGTGCTGTCATGCGAAGGTACAAAACTACTCTCGAGCGTTTGTCTTCCGACGATTCCTCCTCGACACATATGGAATAGAGTAAGGATGAGGGTTAATTTAGTAGAATATTTGAGATGCTTTCGCGAGGAATTGAACCGAGGTCGCGCGGCTGGAAGGTGTAGATTTTACCATCCGACCAAATGTGCCGATGATACAACGGATTTGCAGATATCACACGTGATTTGATTTACTGTGTAGATTCCTTCGTAGTGGGTCGGGTGTGGTCGATGTGGCTGGAGGGAAAGGCGAGATAGGATTTGAGTTGAAGAATCTGAACGGCATCGAAGCCACCAATGTTGATCCACGACCGATGGATCTTCGTAAGAGCTTTCTATACGTGAATTCATCGTGATGTTTTTACACAGGTAAATTCGTCAAGAAATACGAGTGGGATATCTACAATCGCAATCCTCTCTGGCGGAAGTATCAAACGACATATGATAAAAACTCGAAACCCTCGCCACCCCGACATGTGCTCGCCTAGTTAATTTTTTTTCTGCTAAGGGAAAATTGCTGAACTCAGATTCGGGCGTTTTTCGATCCACCGTTGACTGACTGGGCCGCTGATATTGCACGAAGTACAGAAACGATTTCTGGGATATCTTCGGTCGTGGCGAACGTGGCGTGGTATAAAGAACATTTGGATAAGGCTAAACGCATCAAATGGATTCGACAGGGGTAGTCGGAGTCGAGGCTTCATTCGTCTTGGAGAAGTTGATCAATCAGGCACGAAGAGTTCTGTGAGTTGGCGAGTAATTTCACCGCGGATGAGGTCAGCACGGACGATCCTGATTTACCGGGGAGGAAGACTGCGACTAAGCCGGGGGCTGTCAAATTTAAGGAGCCCGCGTCCCCACCCCCGGAGTGAGATTTTCGTATGATGATTGGTATGAAAATTTCGACACACGTGCGTTGAAACTTCTATGAGAACGCAACTTCATCGAGTTGTTGAATCAAAGCACTTCGTCAACGATGACGTGTCCAAGGATGTGTCTTGTGATTGAGCATCTTCCCGATTGGCGTTTCGAATTCGCTGAGAAGTATATGTCGCGTATTGACCAATGGCAGATACGAGTCGATCGACGACTTGCAGACGGCCCTTGAGGTCTTGTCGAATGCATCGTTGGTGGTCGGGTTACATTCAGACCAGGCCACAGAAAGGATCGTCGATTTCGCACTGGCGGCTGGCAAGCCGTTCGCTGTCGTGCCGTGTTGTGTGTAGGTTGAAAGGGGAGGACTTATGATTGTTGATTATTTCCCTTTGGTGGAATTAGGTATCAAAAATGCTTCCCTGATCGAAAACTTCCTAATGGTCAACTTGTGAATACATATGATGAGTTCATAACGGTAAGTGAACGGATGCGAATTTGCCTTTGACGTTGAGGATCGCTGTCTTCTTCCGACCGGTGTGTTCATGTCAGTACATATGCGCCAAAGACCCTCGAATAAGAACGCAAGCGTTGGGTTTTGACGGTCGCAACATTGCTGTATATCTACCACTACCTGATGATATCTAAAGCGCATTGGAGGAGGGGCTACGACCAATGCACAGCAGCTCTTACGATCGGTACAACTATAATACTCGTTTTACGACCCTTATGGCTATTACCACTTCACAATAGTGTTGCAGATTGACCGTTGTAAAAGCTCCTCTAGAAGTGGGGGGGTGTATGTTTGAATACGTCGCAGTAGTGCTGGAGTTGAGTTGGCAAGGTGGTGATGTTGTTCTGTAGTGAGCTGTGGGGAATCCGTCGCGCCCAGATCTATGATGCATGTGAGGAGGGAAGTTACTGCGTGGTGTGGAGGTGATGTCTGTTGGTGTTAGATCCGTAGTGTTGTGATCCTAGGGATGGTGAACTCGACATAACGATAATGGAGTTGATAAGAGACTTAATAGTAGTCCATCTATGATTGCGAATACGGAAATATCTAGCTTAGCTTATCACAATCTGAATGGACTATATATTTTGGAGCGATCGCACAAAAAGGGTAATTGACAACGCAACCTCAGAGAGGGCCGGATTGAAGGACTCTAATCAATACGACCGAATCGACCCCGTTAGGGTCGACGGTTTCGGATACTCATGCGGATATCTTGGCGAGCGATGATGGCACAAATATATAAAATGCGAGTAATACATCAATCTTCATATACAACATGTTCAGCAGTGGTGGTGGTGGCTATTGGAATAAGGTCCAGAATAGTAGCATAATACCGAAGGACCGAAGTCTCGACGATCGAGATGAAAATTACGCGATTCTAACCACGTCTTGTGTTGATGACAGTTTGAGTGGGAAGTAAGAAAGAATATACAAATGCTAAAGTGAGAGAAAACGTGACTATGGTGAATTGTCGCTCCCCTTACCCCATCTCCAATGTTGAGAGGACCCCGAGCTGAACACGTTTGCATTTGTGTGAAGGGACGCGGGCTGATGTGTCATATTTTTACGATACACTGGAGCGCAGGTCCAGGCTTGTATGGGCAAGTTGAAGCAATCGTAATAAGTGTCGCGTGCCACACGGCAGTGGCCCGACGAGAGTCGAATTATTTGACTCTCCTCGTGCCACTGCCACCGTCATTATTCGACTCGAATAGCAGAGCCGAAGTATCAAACTACTTCGGCGAGCTACTTGACGCACAGAGAAACCGGAATTCACTCAGTCAACGAAGCAACTGAAGGACGCCACTCGAATTGGAGAGTGGTGCAACCGATCGAGGCCGAAGTGATAGCGGTCCTTATGTGCTGAAGCATCTCGAATCGAGTCCATCCCGAAATTTGTCCTCTATCTTGGTAAGTTCAATAGAAAGCAAATGTGGAAAAAGACACGCAGTGATAGAAAGAGAAAGCTCCCTCGCAATGTTGAGACGAACGTCTTATAAATGTGAAACCTGCGTCCTTCCTCAGCATTGGCGTGGAGGTAGGGGGTCGAAGAGTTTTGCTTTTAACTGTTGTTTGGGAGACCTTGGGAGAACTTGAGTTCCGCCTCGAGTACGCATGCGGTGGAATACTTCCCGTAGAAACTCAAGTATTTGCATAGGAACTTGAAGTATTAGAAAGTGTTTACTTGAAGAGCGAAATAAAATGCCGGAATTACTCAAGGCTACTTGAGGTATACTTGAGGTACACTTGAGGTATACCTGAGGTTTACCTGAGGTATACTCGAGGTATACTTGAGGTATACTTGAGGTATACTTGAGGTATACTCGAGGTATACTCGAGGTATACTTGAGGTATACTCGAGGTATACTTGAGGTATACTCGAGGTATACTTGAGGTATACTTGAGGTATACTTGAGGTATACTTGAGGTATACTTGAGGTATACTTGAGGTATACTTGAGGTGTACTCGAGGTATACTTGAGGTATACTTGAGGTATACTTGAGGTATACTCGAGGTATACTTGAGTTTGATGTGCAATTTGCCCCCATCTAATTCACATCATCAAAATCGTAGAAAATGAGATCTGCTAGTCAGTCGTATACAAGCACTAAACCTGCGGAGGTTCTATCCCGGCGTGGGAGTATTTTTCAATTGATGTTTTTCGCTAGTGTTGGGATTCTTGTATGAGAAGATCCTAGACCGCAAGGCTATTCAGAAACGGATTTCTTTCAACACATGGGGAAATATTTTCACTAGGATTTGATGGGTGCTCTGTTTCCACGATGGTGGCTGAGTCTAGGAGTAGTTGTTGTAGCAGCGGTTGTTATATTAATTATTAATATCAATTCGTAATTCGTACCACACCAACGGGTCCTTCTATGTTCACTTCCGACCGTCTTCAGTCCTCTATCAGAGAGGAGGAATCATCAATGTTTGTCTCTCCGGAAAAGGAGCATTCTGTAGTCGATACGGGAAGTCCCTCAGTGGTGGGTAATAAGGATAATGTAGCTTCAGCAGATTGTATGGACTCCCATTGGAGGGTACCATTGGGAATTAACTACGTTCGGAGGGGAGTGGTATGTGATTTAGACCTCTATCGGAGCGGACCCTGATCACAATGTTGATATCGTTAGACAATTAGTAGAATTTATGAGCAATATGAATGAAGCCAATGGTGAGTCTTCCACATTTCCGTCACGAGCTAGATCTGGTCCTATTCGACAGGTTATTATGGAACCGCAAATGATGATGATGCTTTCCCTTCCGGGGGTATTGAGGACTTTTTCGGCGGAGCTGGAGGAAGGAGCATCGAGAGACTGGGTTACCCACTTTCAATGTGTGTCCAAGGCGATGGGTATTACTTTCAATTATCAGAAGATGATCTACGCAAGGTGGGTGGATTTGAACCTCTTTTGTATCTTACCGTCTCAACCTAAAGATTCTCCGATCAGGTGTTTGGAAGGTATGGTGAAGTACGCCTCATTGAGGTAACTGGTCTCGGTAGGGATGTGGCCCACGTGTATTATGATCAACTTGAAGATGCACAGAATGCTATAGAGGATCTCAATGACAAGGCACTAATGTATTTTCTCTTACCTTGTGAACCAGATGGTCCTTGTTAAGATCTTAAAAGGAGTTCAAGGCGTCCTACGTGTCGTATGGGGTCTATACAAATCTCCTTCGACATTTACTTCGCCGACTATGACAACGATTAATGAACAGCAGCCTCAACTCCCAGCTAACGGTAGTAATGCAGGTAGAAGGAATGTCATTATGGTATTCTGAAGGTACGGGTGACTTCGTGTATGGGAAAGGCTTGGAAGGAGCAGTGGTTGATAGTGTAAGTGGTGCTTGCTGTGATGATGCTACTCTTAACAGGTAAAGGGCTAGTTTGTATTTCGTGGGTGATTTTTTTTCGGCCGTCAGGTTGTTATCTGAGCTACGTAATGGATCCTCCTCGTTAAATGGTGATGATGAACTGAC